CAAGGTCTTGCTATATAGTGCATGCTGGTCCTGAACTCAGGGTAATCCTCCTGCCTCAGCCTCCTAAGTGCTGGGATTATAGGCATGTGCCACCTTGCCCTGCTGTACTGGAACTTTGAGGAACACTGTTTTCATATCTTAGATTATAGACTAGAATTAAATTATTTGAAGACATTCAGTTTCCTTTTTTTTTTTTAAATTTTTTAATTTTTTTGGTTTTTCTCCGGTACCAGGAGAACTCACAACCTTGCGCTTGGCAGGCAGGCGCTTTGCCGCTGAGCTAAATCCCCAGCCCCAACATTCAGTTTCCTAAACCCATTGAGTGTTGCTAGTTTCTTTTCTTGCTATCTTTCTAATATTTATTCTTTTTAAGAAAGCAATGATAATTTTTATTTCTCAGTAAATTCTCTAAGATAAATAAATTCCTTTTAACAGAAATTGCAAATATAAAAGCTGTAAAATTAAAATATCATGTGAGATACTTTAAAATCTCCACTGAGGAACAGCATTTATCTAATCCTTTTTGCAAAGTAGCTACATTACTTTTGACTTGAAGCATAACTACTTCGTAATAGTGACATAAATGCATGTAAAATATTTCAAGTTACTGACGCACATATACTGATGATTAGGAGATGAGGATTTTCAGTTGGAAAATGTGCCGTATGTGTGTATATATTTAGAAACTATTTGCTGGAAAGTGTGTTTTCTGATCAGCGTTTCCCCACTGACAGCCACGTTAACTTCTGTCTGGTGTCTGGATGTGAGTATTTGATAGAATGTGTGCCTTGTGACCGCTCCCTTGGCCAGTCTTGTCGCAGCCACTGCGGCCTGTGCTTGCGGAAACTTCAGAGGAGGACCTCTCAATTTCCTTCTGGCTGCCGGGTGGCAGAAACTCATTACCAGGGTCAGCTAGGGCTGACCTCCAATTTAGCTCCCTTTATTAGCGCAGCTATGGGCAGAGAGCCTGAGCTGTAAGAGACAGGCAGAAAGTGGGGCTAAAGAATGAACAGGATTTTTTTTTTTTTTAAATAACCAAGTGGAAGTACTTGGATTGTGGAAGGGTTTTTTTTTTTTTTTTTGAGACAGGATCTCACTATGCAGTTCAGGTTGGCCTTAAGCTCATTTTGTAGTCCAGGCTGGTCTGGAACTTGTAACAATTCTCCTGCCTCAGCCTCCTGAGTGCTGCGATTACAGGTGTACACCACCACGCCCCACTTGGATTGTGGAAGTTTGTGTTGTGATTACTTTCTGTTCATCTCGCTGATGATGGAGGGAGGCTTTTCCATAAATCTCATGAGATGGGGAAGCATACAAACTCGGGCAGATGCCATAGTAAAGAGCCTATTCATCACAATACTCAAAGGTTAGTGGAGAAAAGCCTGCTTGGGGTGAAGGTGTGCCTTTCCTGGCCGAGTGGAGGTTTCCCTTAGAAGCAGAGTGAAGGAGTGGGGACATGAAAGAAGACGCTCTCGTGGCAAGAGTGTGTGTGTGGGAAGAGGTGATGAGCTTATTTGAAAAACTTCTCAGGTAGAGAGGGGAAATCTTTTACGATCAAGATAAAGCAGGGTGGAGCTAATCCAGGTGGCGGTGAGCTACCTGAGAGGGATCCTTGCCTACTTACTGGTTGGAGGCCACATCTGGCAGAGCAGGAGAACTCACGGCTAGGCTGCTGGGACCTTTTGAGGTTGGAAGATGTCAAAACAGTCTATGAAATACTAATCATACAATTGTCATGGTTAAAAGTCTGGTGCAGGCAAGAGGTAGGAGCAGGTAGTACGCCTATGTGCAGGGCAGTGAGGTACTAGCGAGGTTTACAGGCAGTGCAGCAGGTACCTATAAAAAGTAACAGGGCTTCTACTCATAAATGATATGTTGAGTTGAAGGGGCTCAAAGCCCGTATTGTCTCATCAGCAGGGAAGTGCAGTGGTTAAGGAATGTAGGAGTTGTCAGGCCTAGCTTGCCTTTGAGTGCTCATCAGACCTGTGGTTTCTGGAAAGTTATGTAATCTCTTTAACACTTCTGTTTCTTTATTAGTAGTATAATAGTAGCTACCTCATGTTGAGATGTTAAATGAGATACTATGGTAAATACTTAATAAATATTGGCTGTTATTGTTGATTTGGTGCAAATGTTACCCAAACTAGCTTCCAAGGGAAAGCTAATTGGCATCAGTGGTCAGTGCTGGCCTAAAGCAGTAGTCAGGTTTGAAGACCAAGATATCCCAAGAATACATAAACCATACTGGAGTCTATTTCTCTTTGCAAAGTCCTGAGCTGAAAAACTGCACACAGATACTTAGAACTATTAGGGAAGCATGGCATTTGGAAGATTAGTAAGGTGTCTTAAAATAATGACCCTTACAGTGTCTCCTATCTAAAGGTATTGGTATTTTGAAAGCAAGACACAGGGCCTATTGCATAAAAGTCATTCAATAAATGTGATTGAATAGCTTTCAAAAAATGAGGCATCATGGCTATCAAGTTCTGGGAAGTCCTCCCTCGCTTCACTTGTAGTGTTTACAAATAAATTGAAAAGGTTAGTTTGCAGCCGGTGTGTGGCAGTTGCTCTAGACTGTTAGAAGATGGGACCGTGTCTGGAAGTTTCCCAGCGCAACACGCATATCATTTCATGGAGTGGCGCAGCGAGAGCGAAACAAAAGCAGCCCGTCCACACCACTTGTTGGCTCATCGCTGTGCTAACAGTAAGGGGTAAGTGGTAGTAACAAAATATATTATGCACATGTAGACTTTTTATGCAAATATATTATTTGCAAGTGTAGATTTTCATACAAATTATACTTATTTTCTCATTAGATCTACTCCATTTCTATCTATTACCTGTTTTGTCGAAATAAATGATAAAATCACTGGGAGGAGAACTGTCCTGCTATGCCTAGCATAGTGGGTTTTTGTGATAATAGGCATTCAATATATTTGTTAATTGATTTGTTTTTACTGAACCATCGGCACTTTGCAGTTGCATTTGTGATTTTTGTCTTTGGTTGAAAAGGTGTTTTAGAGACTCCATGGGAATGAACTGGATTGGGTAGTCTGATACTCTTTTATGCTAATAGTCTATGGTGACCAACTCTAACAAGGAGAAGTCTTAGAATAAAGAAGTTTTGAGAAAGCTTGGGAATTTATTGGCCTTGTAATGATATATACAGGATTCTAACAGAATAAAATTATGGAGATAAAATTATGCATATTACTAGTAAAAAGGATGATGAATTAGCAAACGGTGTTTGCTTCGGTGTTACTGGCTCTAACCTGACAGGTGCGTTGGTACAGTATGAAATGGCAGAGGAGCACAGATTCCGATGTCTTAGTTTGATTCCTCATGCCTCTCCTTCCTTTAGGCCTTGGACAAGTCATCTTAGCTCTTATGCCTGTTTCCTTACCTGGAAAACAATGGTAACAGTAATAACTACTTTGTAGTGTTGTCACAAAGATTAAATGAGTGAATCAGAATCCGTAGGATGCCTCAAGTATTACCTGGCACATAAGCACTATATGGTTGTTGTTTCTTCACGGAGTTATAGCTGACTTCCAAGCAGTGTCCTTGATGGGGTCATAGCACAAGAGATTCATGGAGATTTTTTTGCTTTTTTATTTTTTTCTGGCATATGCATATAAAGTTTTGGATGAGGCTAACAGTTTAAAAACAACTACTGTTTTCTATGCTTAGGTATTAAGGGAGCTTCTAAGAAAAAAAAAAATCCTAGCATTTGGGAAATGGATGTCAAAAGCCAAGTAAGTACTATTTCACTCTGAGGCAGTGTCCCAGCCATAAGCCTGGGATGATTTGAAAACAAGCAATCTCCTGCTGAAAGTGCTGCTTCTGATGTCAAATGGTCATTAAAAGTCCCCTGGCACTTCACTAAGACGTAAAATTATTCCTCTCTATCTCTTGGCAAGGGTTCAATTCGAGATGAAATTCCCTTAAAGAGGCAAAGGTGTTTACAGACCCTTCTGCCTGATGCTTGGAAGTAGTTTTGTTCTGCTGGAGGAGCCCTCTTCAGGTGGCTCTGGATGGACATTCTCGTTTGCCTAGGCTAAGATGCTGAGGCATAAACGTTTACAACACGTGCTTTGCCATTTGGTATGTGGTTTCTAATACATTCCTTTTCAAAACTGTAAATGGACAAAATTCTTCATCATTTTGAAATTACTTACACTATTCGTTTTTCTGTCTTCCTTGTGAAAAATTCCCCTGAGTACTCTTCCCTTAGTCATTCTCTGAGAAATGTTTTAAAGCAATTTTGAATGTAGTAAAGCTCAGAAAGGCCTCCACACACATAACGTGCTGAGATTAAGTATGATGCTAAAAAGTGGTAAGAAAAAAACGGGACTTTGCTGTAATAATCACAATGTGGTAACATTTGATGGCAGTTCTCATGACTTCTGAATTCCTGTGGAAAACTGTAATTTATACAACACTGCTCAAAGACAGTAACATAAATCAATTAAAAAACGACTTCTCTTGTACACAGCTTTGGAACCTAAGTGCTATTAAGCTTCTCCAAAAAAAAGCAAAAGAAGCAAAAAAAAAAAAAAAAAAAAAAAAAAGCTGTTGCTTTCTGTATCACGATGAGGTCCTAGTTCAAGCGCTTTGAATCCAAGTCCCTACGTACAGAGGACCTCGATTTGTAGAGAGATGTTTCATCGCAGTTCCAGCTGATGTTTCTCATTTCTGTCTCTCAGACCCTCTTCACACGTTCTGTGTTTTCATCAGAAGGACTGTTTCTCCCGGAATGGACCGAGATGGTGAGGTCCGCGTCTCCTCGCAACTGCTCGGCCAGGCTCAGCTGCGAGCTCCGCAGCGGCGGGCGGGTGGACAGCGTCTCAGCGCGCGGAGGGACGCAGGCGGGGGCGTGGCTTC